AAAATAATTTTCCACTAAAAATAAATTAGGATAAATATTCTTAAACTCATCATCATAGAGATCATTATAACATGGTCTTCTCTGTTGTAAGTTTCTCTAGTGGATTCAAATGAGTTCATTGGTAAGATTTTTCTTATCTTACTGTTTTAGCATGTTTTCCGTGCTAAATGAGGTACAACAATTAAATATTTTAGAGTCTGAGAGTTAGGTAAGACTGAGAGATCACTTAGCTAACTTACCTCTGTGTGCAAGAGTACCTTCTAGAACAGTCTGCAGGGTGACCATTCTGTCTTTTTCTTTTTTTAAATATAAAATTTCTATAATGGGGATTGCATGTTCTTTTCATTTTTGGAGAGTTCTGTTCAACATAATCAATACCATAAGAGTGAAACTCAGCCTGTATCCAGAGCAGCTTTTGTTTCTCAAAACTCTAAATCTATCCAACAGTCTGATTGCTACCTGGGATTACAAAAATTACTGGAGTTCCTGTTTTTTCACCGTGATTCATGCCTTAGGAATTTAGAGATCATTTTCCAACTCTCCATCCAAGGCATAAGTCTCTTCCATATTCCATAGCCTTCTGATACCATTCCAGGCCTCGAACAGAACAGGTGTGCTGTAAACACAGGTTGTGGACAGTGGGTGCTTAGTGTTAGAAGAATGACTTGGGATTGCAGGGCCTTAAGGAGCTAGGGACTGGGGAGCCAGGCCTACTCTGAGCCTGAGAGCCAGAAGACTTGGAGACAAGCAATGCCACATCGTTGTTCTTACTCAGTTGAATTAGAGATCCATAGGAATGGTGACTGAGAGCAGGAGCGTGCTGGCAAAGCACTCTTCTCTTTGTGTTTCCATACATGGTTGAGCACTTGGAGATAGGATCCTCAGATATCACTTCTATGTCTCTAAGTCTAGGGAAAATCTTTGACCAATTAGTTAAGAATCATGAGATTTGTTACAAGAAATAATGCAAGCTGGGCATGGTGGCTCATGCCTATAAACTTTAGGCAGGACTTCAGGAGGTCAAGGTGGGAGGATTGCTTGAGCCCAAGAATTCGTGACCAGCCTAGGCAACATAGTGAGACCTCATGTCTACCAAAAAAAAAAAAAAGCTGGTCATGGTGGTGCATGCCTGTAATTCCAACTACATAGTGAACTGAGATGGAAGGATCACTTGAGCCCAGGAGGTCCAGGCTGCAGTGAGCTGTGATCATGCCACTGTACACCAGCCTGGGCAGCAGAGTGAGACCCCGCCCCCAACCCCACAAAGAAATAGTGCATTATAAAATTTTGTAAGATTGTTTAGTTTCTTACTGCTGAAACTGTTCTATACTAGAAATAGAAGAAATAGGAGAACAGTGTCTTTTTTCCTCATCTTTTAGTCTGATTATTTGAATTCTGGAGTTTTTTATAGACATTACAACCTTATTTGAATTCTGGAGTTTTTTATAGACATTACAACCTTATTTCTATGTAATGTATTTATTGTTCTGCCTTTGCAGGAGCTGTAAATAGTGTTGACTAGATAATGTCCTGTCTGGTAGTAAAGATGGTCAGTGTGAGCCTGAGGTTGGCTGCCCAGAGGCAGTGTGTGACTTTCAGGCATGTCCTGGTAGAGTGCTGGGTGTCAAGGGAGAAGGTAGCAGGACAGGCTCCTTGGCACAGTCTTGGGTTTGCATTTTGACATTTTCCTAATGAAAAGAAAAAGATGGTCTGGGGCCCATAGGTATCATATATTAGAAATTGCACATAAAGGGTGAGAGTTGAGGCTTGGGGTGTGGAGCCCTAAGATCTCGAACTCTTTCCTGTAGTACAACACACAATTAAAAGTCACTGAAAAGCGTATTGTATTTGGAGAGTAGAGTGGAGGTGACCCAGGTTAACCTGGTGTAGGAACTTCACACGCACCGCTGGGACCTAGGGGCGATAGGTTTTGGTAGCTGATGGCCCTCTACACTTAGACGCAGAAAAAGATATTTCTCGCTGTTGGACCAAGCCTGGAAAACTGTGCCATGATCCTCTTAGTGAGGAAGTCTTCCGTATAGGTACTTAATATCCCAGAGACTTTTTGGAGCAGGAGTTATAATTATTTGAGCAGTTATGAATCCGTTTGAAAAAGTGTTGAAAGCCACAGGCATTTTACCTGGCAAAGTGCCTACACACATTCACATACCCTTGTATGTAGTTTAAGAGGAACACATGTTTAGGGAGCTTCTGGGGTCTTCCTCTAAGGCATAGTAGGTACCAAGTTAAGCATTGATGTCCAGAGTGGACCTCAGCCATGGGAAGGCAGCTTCACGGGGCCCATGTAATATCGAGCTATTTTAGCCCAATGAGATTGTTTTCCACTGGCAGGATGTTAATGCTGTGATTCTGTGGCAGTTTGGACATGTGACATTTCTAACTTCTCTTTATTTAAAATATATATATATATATTTTTTTAATTTTTAATTTTTTAGAAAAAAAGTTTATTCAGAAAGTAGATCAGAAAAAGAGTCTGTCCACTTCTTCAAGAGAGAAGGGGCCAGACGCTAAGAGAACCACATAGCCAAAGTATATTTCTTTAGCTGCTGTGTGAAACCTGTTTTTTCTTGATCTGTTTGTGTTTTACAAGACTTATTCTTCTGAATTCCAGTCTTTAAAAATCTTTAAAAGACTTTTTTTTAAAAGTCTTTATTGTGAAACATAGAAAACATGCGGAAAAGTTACTAAAACACAGATGTGCATATAATGCATGCTCTAAGTGGAGCTGTCAACCAGGGTGAGAAACAGAACACTGCCAGTGCCAGCAAGCGACCTGGACTTGCAGGCAAAACCCCTCCTTTTTGGTAGCAACTTTAAGACTGTTTCCCTACTGTGGTTTATAATTTTACCAACACATTTACCTTTAAAATGCCTTGGATTTGTTGCCAGTTTTATACACGGGCCCATGTTGCACACACTCTTTTCTGTTGGCCGTGTTGCCTTACCATCATGTGGCGTCTGCTTTTCATGATGCTGGAGGTCTCTTTCGTTTGTTTACCTCCACTGTTGTGTCATCTTCCATGGTCTGACCTTTCCACAGTGTGTATTTGTAATTCTCTGGTCAAAAGCATCATGATATTTGAAAGAGAGCTTTTTATTTTCTATCTTTTATCTGCCTTTATACCAATTATCTGTCCATTAATAGTTAAGTCCAGTATTAACTAGTAAGCTTGTTACATGTAATTAGTAGTTTGAGAATTCAAGAGATTGAAATCAAGAATCATGTTTTCTTATTATCTGTTATTTTACTTTATTTTAGCTTCAGTCTGTAATGCATGCTTCTTTTCCTAGATATTTCCCATATATGATATGCCTGGCTATCGTAAGAGTTAACTAGGCGCATTCAGCAACTACTTGAGTGTCTGCTATGTGCCAAGCACTGTTGTGGGTGCTGTGGCTTGTGGCATTTTAGCAGATGTATAGTTTTTTTATTCTGTATATATTGTTACAACAAAGCTGATCAGGCCAGGCGTGGTGGCTTACGCTTTTAATCCCAGCACTTTAGGAGGTCAAGGTGAGAGGATTGCTTGAGCCCGGGAGTTTGAGACCAGCCTGGGCAATAGAGTGAGATTTCATCTCTAAAAAAAAAAAGAAAGGCAAGCAGGTCTATGTTTTTGTTTTAAAAAGGTTCATATTACAGGAAGATATAAAGTGAAAAGTTTAAATTTCTGTTTCTTCAGCCCTATACCTATTGTTAAATTTTGACTGTCTTTTCAAAAAAAAAAAAAAAAATGTGATGTTACATATCTGTCCTTAAAATATTACACAGTGGGGTCTTGCTGTACTCCTTTATGCTTCTTTCTGTTGTTTTTTGTTTGTTTGGTTTTTTTTTTTTTTTTGGTGGTTTCCGTCGTTGTTGTTTTACTGTGTCGCGCAGGCTGAAGTGCATGGCACGATCCTCACTGACCACAACCTCACTTTCCTGGGCTCAGATGATCCTCCTACTTCAGTCTTCCAAGTAGCTAGAACTACAGATGTGTGCCATCACACCTAGCTAATTTTTACATTTAGAGATGAGGTCTTGCTATGTTGCCCAGGCTGGTCTCCAATTCCTGGGTTCAAGCAGTCCTCCCACCTCAGCCTTCTAAAATACTGGGATTGTAGGCATTAACCACCATGCCCGGCCTGTATTTATTATTACTTTTTTGAATTGGGGTCTTTCTCTTACCCAGGCCAGAATGCAGTGGCACAGTCGTGATTCACTGCAGCCCGAAACTCCTTGGCTCAGGCGATCCTTTTGCCTTAGTCTCCTGAATAGATGGAATAACAGGTACATGCCACCACACCTGGCTATCTATATATCTCTTTATTTATTTATTTTTGTAGACACAGGATCTTGCTATGTTTCCCAGGCTGATCTTGAACTCCTGGGCTCAAGAGATCCTTCTGCCTCATCCTTCCAAGTCACTGAGTTATAGGTGTGAGCCACAGTACCTGGCTACTTTTTTCTTTATTACTTAATAATATATCTTGAGGATTTTGAGGACAGTGGTTTTTTTTTGTTTGTTTGTTTGTTTTTTTTGAGTTGGAGTCTCACTCTTGTAGCCTAGGCTAGAGTACAGTGGCATGCTCTTGGCCATTGTAGCCTCGACCTGCTGGGCTTAGGCAATCCTTCTGCCTCAGCCTTCCAAGTAGTTGGAACTACAGACACACGGCACCACACCCGGTTAGTTTTTTTTTTTGTGATTTATTGTAGAGATGAGGTCGCACCAAGTTGCCCAGGCTGGTCTCAAAGCAGTACTTTTAAATTAGGAAACTTCAATTAGTTTAGTTCTTATAAACTAAAAATAGGAATAGTGCTTCATATTCTCATTCTTCTAGATTAATCCATCCTCAGCTTATTATAGAAACAAGAATTATGGAAAATACTGTACTTTTATGAATTGGAAATCATTCGATGTATTTGTAGCACATGTAAAATTTATCCATGAGAAATCATAACCTTCAGTGGTTACATACCTGCATTACTTTTTCCTCAGGCATTGTTGGAGACCATGTTTGGTGTAAAAGTGGTTATTACAGGTGATGCATTTGTTCCTGGAGAAAGAAGCGTCATCATCATGAACCATCGGACAAGGATGGACTGGATGTTCCTGTGGAACTGTCTGATGAGATACAGCTACCTCCGGCTGGAGAAGATCTGCCTCAAGGCGAGTCTCAAAAGCGTCCCTGGATTCGGTAGGTCATTCACACATCGTTCTAAGTGGTTCGCTCATTGTGAGTGTCACCATTCACCCTAAAGCTTACCTAAGCATTAAAACCATTCTCAGTTTTTTTGCTCACTGGGCTAAAAGCAATCCCAGTTTTGTTTTGTCTTTTCCTCAGTGAACCTGTTGCGACATGTGACTTTTTCTCATCTCTTTGGCCAAATAAGCAGGTCTCAAGGAAGTGGAGAGCGTTCCTGAGGACCACCCCGGGAAGGATATGAATTAAACATTCAGTTGCTTTTTATTGCATGCTGTGCTTGTGGTTTATGCCAAAAACTGGTCTGTGCTGACAGAATACTTGAAATTGGCTGATTCATTCACATTCAGGTACTACATACGAACTGAACACCTAGGTTTCAAGCATGACCTAGGTGCTGGGATTTTCGGAACTTCCCTAATGCGTAGCTTCTTTTAAAAAAAGTCGTATTGTACTTGTATACTATAATGTTAAGATTCCTAGGAATGTTTATTTTTAGTGGTTAGGAATATAGTGTGTTCGTTGTGGGCTGGAGAAGTAGGGATGTTTCAGCATTGCATGTCAAAACTGAATTGCTATCTTTCTCAACTTGCTGCTTAATGTGAAACAGTGATGGGAAACAAACAGGAGTGTGTTTAAACTGGTTATTAGTCACACTTGGCTATATGAAGCACCTGCTGTACTCCCTGACAGCCTCGTCGATTCCATGCCTGCTTCTGTGGTTTTCTTGTGTAACATTCCTTATCTGAACTCTCTGCCCTGCTAGCTGAGCCTCCATGATTTGCGAACTGCAAGGGCAGAGGGCAGGACTGTCCTCAGGGTAGAGTGAGAAGGGTGTTCTGCTTGTGACTAAGTGTGTTTGTGCTTTAGTTGCCTTCATACTTCAAGCTTTGTCGTTGTCTTTGCCACCTTTCCTATATAAAGGGCTCAAGGTAGAGAGTAGTCACATGTCTTACATGGCAGCTAGTTTTTCCCATAAACGGCGCCCCCGCACCTCCCCACTCCCCCACCCCACCCAAGACCAGCAAGAAGCTGCAAGACATTTTATGACCTAACCTTGCAATGCATATAGGGTTACAGTCACTGTATGTTGTTGGTGGAAGCAGTCACTGTCCTCAGCAATTCTAGGGGAGGGAGCGTAGACTCACCTTTTGACTGGAGATGCGCCAGAGGTATCAATATACAAAAAACTGCCACATCCCTAAAAAGACTGGTCAAGAAAGAAAAGAGTTGGCACATATTACCCGTAGCAATCATGATAATGTCCTTTTTTTTTTTTTTTTTTTTTGAGTAGGAGTCTTACTCTATTGCCCAAGCTAGAGTGCAGTGGCATGCTCATGGCCATTGCAGCCTCGACCTGCTGGGCTCAGGTGATCCTTCTGCCTCAGCCTTCCAGGTAGCTGGAATCACAGATGCATACCACCATGCCCAGCTAACTTTTTGATTTATTCTAGAGATGAGGTCGCATCAAGTTGTCCAAGCTGGTCTCAGACCCCTGGACTCAGGCAATCCTCTTTCTTCTGCCTCCCAAAGTACTGGGATTAACTGGGATTACAGACATGGGCTACTGTGCCTGGCTGATAATGTCATTCTACATGATACATATAGTTAGTCTCCCACATACGAACATTCAAGTTGCGGACTTTCAAAGATGTGAATGTGTGTTTGCATGTCCAATCATGCATTAGTACCATGCTATTTTAGTTATCGTAGTTTTAAATATTTTATTTGTATTGTATTACATACAATAAAATTAACCAGTTTAAAATTGCATACAGTTGTCTGACAGCAGTCAAGTTAGAAGATTTCTCTCTATGTATCTGTGTGCCCTTTTGCATCCAGACCCCTGGATAATATGGCAAATGTATGTTTAGTGTTGTAATTTCCTGCCACACTATTTTTCCCATTCTACTTTCTTTTAATTTTTTTTGAATTGGGTTCTCACTCTGTTGACCATGTTAGAGTACAGTGGCACAATCTTGGGTCATCGTGGTCTTGACCTCCTGGGATCAGGTGATCCTCCTGCCTCAGCCTCCTGAATTGCTGGGACTACAGATATGCACCACCATGCCCAGCTAATTTTTTGATTTTTTAAAAATAGATTACAGACGTGAGTCACACACCCAGCCCCATTTCATCCGTGAAGCCATCTGAGCATTTTGTTTTCTTAGTGGATATGCTTTTAATTTTAAACTCAAGTTTGAAATTTATATAAAACTCTTTAATTCTTCTGTTTCTTGTAATTTGTGTTTAAAAGAAATTGTCTTATCTAAGTTGTCAAACTAAAATGTCAGACTAAGGGATCAGGTTGTTCATGATACCCTCTTGTTCATCTTTAGTGGTAAAGGGTCTGTAGTGATGCCCCTTTTTCATGTTTCCTCTGCTGTCTTTTTTGGTCTAGTTGGAGTTTGTCAGTTCTATTGATTTTTTTCCCCCCTGTGTGTCTGTATGCTCAGCACTGCTTGGGTTGTGTTCCTCATGTCTTGCTGTGGATTCCACGTAGCTCATAGCTCAAGGTAAAGCCATGAGAGGGAGGATCCTCTCACAGCTTCCCCCCTCCTCTTCACAAGAGCCCACTTCTGCCAGGCCTGGCTGTCCCCGCTACTCCTCCAGAACCTTCTGATGATGATCTCTGTTAGTGTCCAGATTGTATGGTTGTGTCCTTCCGGGATGATTTGTCCAGAGGGTCTGGCTTCAACATGCTGGAACATGGAACCTGCTGAAAAGAATTTTTTTATGATTAATTTTTAACTGTTGAAAAAATGGTTCCCGAAGCATAGGATTTTAGACTTGGCTCCGAATTTAGAGATTATTTATTCTTCTCTGTGAAGTACAGGAATTGTCTCTGACTCATTTTTATTTTTTTAAAAGTAGTTACTTATCAAATCCGGTTTTTTCTCAAAATATAAAAATGTCCTATTTCCTGTTTTGTTCTTAGCAGCTTCCAGTTGGCAACTGAGCTCCTGCTTCCTGGGTCCTTTGGTTCATCTGCCTTCCTTTCCTCCACTTACATACCCAGTGAGGCCAGCATCCTTCCTTGCCACCCTCTGTGTATTGTTTGTCTAAGCTCTGAACACCAACACATGCCCCGTGCACACAGAAGCGTTGTTGTCTGTCCTGAGGCCCCTGTGAATGTTGGTGCGTGTGAGGTGGACACGCACTCTTCTCCTTGTCTTACAGAGACCTATATTAGGCTCAGGGATTTTACAGAGTCTCAGACCCGGGTTCTCTTTTCCTGACCACCCAGTTTCATTTCTCCCTACTCTGTACTGGTCTCGTCATTTTTATCATTGCACACCTGTAGCTCCTGCAAGACAAGAGGAAAATTCATCTTGCGTTCCTGTTTAAGTATTTCACACTTAACTTTTCCATTTTTTTCTTTCCCCGCAAGAGTTATATGCCCCTTACAGATTGTCCTACACATTGTAGGCTCTTAACTATTTATAAGCCTGATAGGATTTCATGAAAATGCAAACTATTAATGGAAGCAGATTATGGATTAGAGAAAAAATGATTTTAGAATCTTTAAAGCAAACAAGTCAAAGTAAATTAAACAAAGCATAAGTGTAGGCAGCAAACATAACAGCTTGTTTACAAATGAGAGTGAAGAAGGGAATGAGAGCTAGAGTTTGCGGGAGGCAGTGAGAGAAAGGGAGAAGGAGGGATGCATCTTGGTGGTCAGCTCTGTCCTCTTCAGACTGAGCTGAATTCAGCTTGGCAACAACTTGATGTGCTTTTAGACAGTACTTAAGGTAGCTGTGCACACTTTCCAAATAAGTGCTTGCTTACCACGTTTGGAATGTAATTATCTGGTCTAATTAGTTCAGTTGGAAATGGTTAAAGGAAAATATGGTATAGGTGGTGCCATATTGGAGGATGGAGGAGAGTTTGGAATTAGAGAGTTCTTAGGGTATAAAAGTGACAGGCTTACAGAACAGGCTGGGAAAGAAATTGTTATGTGTGTTTAGATTTCAGGTGAAGTTATACAAACTTTTGGTAAATAAACTGTATAACGTTTGCTAAGATACACAAACTTGACTTCCAGGAAGAAATATCCTGTAGATTTCAGCCGCCTCTAACAGTAGTGTCCACGTTGGATTCAACTTTAAGCCAACTTTATGATTGCTTAATAGCAACCAATGACATGAAATATTAGATGTAAAAGTTCCATGAGAAGCCCATTTGCTGGTGATCTTGTGCCAGGAAATGCGCGTGCCAGCGGTGCCTACCCAGCTCGTGGCTTTTTGGTTTCTCTGGCTCATTTAACTAATCACGCTTGAGTGGCAAAGCAGTTTGAGCCTTTTAGAAGGCATAAAAAGAAGTGGAGTGTGTAAGATCCAGTGATTAAAAGCTGGCCAAGGTGTGTCTTAAACTCAGCATTTTCCTGACATGGCCACATGATTTTGTATTAAGTTGTTGTATGATTCCGGAATTGCGTAATTGCAGCAGAGGCCCCTGCAGAGGTCTGCTCTCACGAGACTGAAATCCAGGTGGAAGCTCTTTGGAAGCTCAGCCTCCCCGAATGTAAACTGGTCGCCAAATGTTAAATAGTTTTTTTGTCAAATCTAACATATAGGAAGGACTGGAATTTAATTTTTCCCTTTTTTTTGAGTCAAGAGTCTCTCATTCTGTTGCCTAGGCCAGAGTACAGTGGCACGGTCACTACTGCAACCTTGATCTCCTGGGCGCAAGCAGTCCTTCCACCTCAGCCTTCCAAGTAGCGGAACTATAGATGGACGCCACCACGCTCATCTGATTTTTTGATTTATTGTAGAGACGAGATCTTACCAAGTTGCCCAGGTTGGTTTTGAACCCCTGAACTCAGGCAATCATCTGACCTCAGCCTTCCAAAGCACAGGGATTACAGGTGCAAGCCACTGTGCCGGCCTGGAACTTAATTTTAAGTGCCTTTGGTGTTTTAATATACATTTTTCTGTTTAACTATCACGGATAAGAACAACTCAGTTAAAATCTGCTGTGCACCTTGTCAGTGC